GTGCAGGAGGCAGCTGAATCGATGTTTCTCTCTTATCGATGTTTCTAACTCTCTATCCCTCTCTCTCTCCCTTCCTCTCTGTAAAAAATCAATAAAATATATTTTTAAAAAATAAAAAAATAAATAAATAAAAATATTGCCCTAACCGGTTTGGCTCAGTGGATAGAGCGTCAGCCTGCGGACTCAAGGGTCCCAGGTTCGATTCCGGTCAAGGGCATGTACCTTGGTCGCGGGCACATCCCCAGTGGGGAGTGTGCAAGAGGCAGCTGATCGATGTTTCTCTCTCATCGATGTTTCTAACTCTCTATCCCTCTCCCTTCCTCTCTGTAAAAAATCAATAAAATATATTTTTAAAAAATAATAATAATAATTTTCACCAGTTTTACAGAGAACCAGGTCAGTGGAGCTCCTCCCGCTGAAAGTTAGTCCTGTCTACAGCTGCTTTGGGGCTACGAGGGTACAGCTGAAGAGCTGAGTGGTTGCAGCTGAGACCGTATGGCCCGCGAAGCTGAAAATATGTATTATGTGGGCCTTTACAGAAGAAGTTTGCCAAGCCCTGGCTCGGCTCGCTGCTGCCAATGCCACAGGTCCACAGACCACACTTTGAGTAGCAAGGGCTTCCATCGCTTGAGAGACAGTAAGCACTGTGTTGGCTGAGCGCTTGCTTCAAAACTCCATTTCACCATTCATTGGACAGATGGTTTGGGGCGCGCCTCCCTCACTGGGTTGTTGTGAGAACGAAATGTATGAAAAGTCTGCCACTTCGGAAGTATTCAACAAACGATAACTTATCATCATCCTGCAAACTGTATAGGAAATTTAAGTAGAAGACATCATCGCTTTCCTCAGTTTTTTCCCCCCAGAAAATTTAAGTTTTGGAAAAGGGACACAAGTATAGACTCCCCAATAAGACGAGATGTCTTTTCATACCTGGGGTACACAAATGACCTACTGAAGTGAAAACTCTATAGAGCTGGAGCTTAAGCCTGACATTGAAAAAAACGAGAATTTGCCACCGGCGATGCCTCCGGCCTCTGGCAGTAACAATGAATGAAAACTTTCAGGAAGTGCTTCCCAACCCAAGTGCCCTATTGGAAAAGACAGCAATGGATCCTTAATCCGAGGATTTGGGCCTAGATGGCTCCCTTCCGGTTCTGGCCACCTCTATCCGCGCCCAGAAATGATATACACAGAATCCCTCAAGTTTCCACCTCGACTTGACACCCGGGCCCGGGCGCCCCGATCGGTGCCGTCCTAGGGCCCGAGGCGCGGGGATTCCGCCAGGCTCCCACCTCGCCGCGGGCCCGTCGGGGCTGTCCGCCCGCTTACCTCGCAATTAAACTCCATCTCGGCGTCCATGGTGACGATCCGCACGGTGAACGTCTTGGGCTGCTTCCTCTTGAGCGAGCTGAAGCTCATGCGGGAAGCGATGGCCCCGGCCATGGTTCGGGGCTCAGGCCCGGGACCCTCGCGTCCCCAGGCCTGCGCGCTGGGACTGTTAGCCTCCCTGGAGGAGCCGCACAGGCCTCAGGGCGACCATGGTGGCCGGCCGGCCGGCCCGGGAACTGTCTAGGCGGCGCGGGCCCCCAGCAGCCAGCATGGGCCGCGAGGACCCTGCCCCGGGAGCGGAAAAGGGGAGTCGCGGGGCGGGCCCTGGCGGCCGTCGGGAGGGAACGCGAGCTGGGACCGACGGGGTGGAACCCGCCCGGCTCTCCGGGACTCGGGTCGGGGACGCTGAGGTCACCAGGACCCGGCCCCTAGACGGCGGCGACCCCGATCGCGCGCGCCTCGCCGCGGCGGCTGGAGATCTCGGGGGCGCGCGGCGGCCGGGCGCGCACGTGCGCGCGTGGCTGTCACCGTCCACGCTCCGCGCGCCCGCGGGAAGGGTCCCCTCCCCGCAGCCCCGCGCCTGCTCCCGCCCCGCCCTCAGGCCCCAGTTCACTCCGCACCACGCAACCTAACCCGCGGCCACCGCTCGGGCGCAGCGATTGGCACAGGACTCGGAGGGAGGCCGAACTTTCCCTCTCCGGCCCTCGCCTCCCGAACGACTCCACCAATTGGAAGTTCCGCTCTCACCGGGGACCTGGGCCCGGCGTTGACTGGCTGCCGCGTCGGTCGCTCCGAAAGCTTTTGTTGGGAATTCTAGCAAGACTGGTTGAGGCGGCGGATCCCCACCCGCCTTTCTCGGGAAACCACGTAGAGGCTGGGCCGGGGCGCGCGCGTGGGGACCCTCCCCGGTCCTTGCGGGTCCAGTGGCGCCGAGTGGGACGCGCCCTGGGGGTCGTGTCTCGGACACCCGGCGGAGAATCCTGTTTGGCCTTTTAATGATTCCACATACCGACCTCTGTTCTTCACACTTTGAACTCACTGGTGGAGGCCGCCCAGGTTGCCGGCTCTCTCCCCCAGATCCTTCTGCTTCTCTTTAGGAGAGCTAAGTAAGTATGAGCAGGAGGGGGTTATAGTTGTGACTGCCCGTGGGGTTGTGGGGGAATATGAGCGAGTTGGGATAAAGCGTTGGTTATATTAACTAACTGGCTGGCACCAACGAGGTTGAATCCTATGCAGCAGCTGTTTTTGTTGATGCAAAACGGTCCAAATCAAAGCATGTCTCACTTTGTGCTCTCTGGTTTCTGTTTTCGAACCATATATGTGTATTATTTGGTTTTTAAATGTTATCAAAGGTTATGACGGGATGTGTATGTGTTGGGGAGGGCGGAGCATAACTCTCTGGGGTTTTTTGTTGTTAATCCTCACCCGAAGATATTTTTCCATTGATTTTTAAATCCTATTTTTAAATAACTCTTAAGGGTTGAATAGAGACCATTTCCTGTGTTTTAACTGAGCCGTAAGCACTTCATCAATACTAACCATCGCCTCTTCTCTACAGGGGAGGAAGCAGGCTCAGCATGACAGAGCACTAGCTGGCTATCATCCAGGCAGTGACAGGCGACGCTGGGACTAGAACCCAGGTCTGTGCCCCACAGAGCCCGCTGGTGTGACCACTGCACCGCCCTGCTTCTCTGGTCGTGGCTGCCAAACTGCTCCTGCTGTAGCCCCAGGAACCATGAGCTACATTTCTGGAGCATTCAGCCGACACCGTTGCTAACACTAGACTCATAGCATAAATCTAGCTCTTCCCCACAGGCCCTGCCAGGCCATGACGCACCAGCCAGGTGCCAGGCATCACTTGCTGGCACACCCGGAGAGGCTGCTGTTGGGAAACTTTATGTTCCGTCTAGTGCTGGCAGATTCTCCCCTCCAAACGGACCATTCTGGGAAAAGGCGTGGGAGTGTCTTCATTTTCTTTTTTTAAGATTTTTTAAAATATATTTTTATTGATTTCGGAGAGGGAGAGGGAGATAGAAACATCAATGATAAGAGAGAATCACTGGCCAGCTGCCTCCTGCACCACCCACAGAGGGGACTGAGCCCGCAACCTGAGCATGTGCCCCGACCAACCGGGAATCCAACCGTGACCTCCTGATTCATAGTTTGACAATCAACCACTGAGCCACACCAGCTGGGCTTTACTAATTTTGAGAGAGAGAGAGAAACATCAATGTGAGAGAGCCACATCAATTGGTTGCCTCCTACACCCGTTGGGGCAGGGAACCTGCAACCCAGGTATGTGCCCTTGACCAGAATCACACCCGCGCCCCTTTGGTTTGAGGGCCGACCGGGACACTTTTAGAGTATCCGCCAGTATCTGTCGAAAGTCTCTCAGTTCAGGTTTGTCTTATGTTTTCTCCTGATTGGACTGATGTGTTTTCGTAAGCTGCGCCCCAGGCCCTCGCCACCCCACTGTCTGCGTCCATGGGTTATGCACATATGCAGGCAAGGAAAGACCAAATAGTTGAACAAAAAGTGCGCCCAGTGCTGTTACCGCTTAGTGAACTACACGGGTTTTAGGAGCTCTGAGCCAGGACCCGGAGGCCGAGACTCAATATATGACTTCCATTATTTCACAGGACACAATTCAACCCGCAGCTCTCCGCTCGCAGGAGGCGGCTGCGGGAGCCATATTTCTGCCAGGACAGCCGGGAGGTCCAGGGAAGTCCCATTTCTCAGGGAGGATGCCTTCGGTAAACTTCACATGATTCAAACCTTTGTAGTCCCAGAACCTCTTTCCCCCACAGGAATGTCTGTAAAGTAAGTGATCAAATGCGTTCGCACAGCTCGTAAGTCCACAACCGTCTCCCACATTTTTTGCTTTTTTTAAAAAATATATTTTATTAATTTTTTTGCAGAGAGGAAGGGAGAGGGACAGAAAGTCAGAAACATCAATCAGCTGCCTCCTGCACACCCCCTACTGGGGATTTGCCCGCAACCAAGGTACATGCCCTTGACCGGATTCGAACCTGGGACCCTTCAGTCCGCAGGCCGACGCTCTATCCACCGAGCCAAACCAGTCAGGGCCCACATTTTTTGCTTTTGATGCTGCGTTGTATCATTGCAGCATAATCTCTGCCCTCCAGCACTCTCCTCAGTTAACAGCACCACCTGTCGTGGAGGTAGTTCAGTCTTCGTGGTGTTTCGTCAGGTCCAATATCCACACCAAAGATAGCCATTTGGCGGGGGAGTGTATTTTCCAGCACTAGCATCACTACCTTGTGAATGCATGGATAATGTGAATATATCTTTTTAAAGTGGTTTATTATGACAGGGAATGGCAAAATGACAGCTGCATAGCCACAGGAAAAAAACACAAAGAAACAGTTGCTAGAATCCAGAGTATGCCTAACAGCTTTGTGATTTGCTCCAGAATAATGTCACAGTGCAGTGCAGTCATTTGTTTCCCGGCTACAGTGGCGCCGCCCTGTGGCAGTGGCATAAACACAGTTGATAATTCATTCCATCCCCAGGACGCTTTGACATTGCCCCATCCCTAATGAGTTAAAATGTTGCCTTTTTTTTTTTTTTTTTTTCCTGACGTTTCTGTGATTTCCGATGTAACCGAGGAGGGGCACTTTGTTGATGGTTTTATGTGACACCGTGTCAAAGTCGCATAATTCATACTGCATAGGATGCATACCACAGAGAGGCCGGGAGTCGGCGGTGTGGCTCATGCCCCCGCTGAGACAGCAAAGCTGTCTTGCCCCTGCCCCTCCTGTTTGGGGTCCTTCCTGTTTGGGGTCCCTCCTGTTTGGGGTCCCTCCTGTTTGGGGTCCCACAGGAGCCGGGCAAGGCAATTCTGAGAGCGGTGGAAACACCACCAGAGCTGGGTAATTTGTCTCTTGGCTATTCCGCAGCCCATTCAGTGATGATCTATTTGTCCTCGAGAATAGATAATGGCAGGTCTGCCCATATTTTACACTTAGGAACCGGCCTGCTCCTCTCCGCCCCATCTGTCTTTGTCCCTGGCTCTTCTCATTTCATTTCACAAATTGGGCAACAGGCCTTGGCAATGACTTATGAAGGCAGATTCCATGCGGGCAGCTTGCTTTGGGAAGGAGGAGAGGGAGAAGAGATGGGTCAGCTCGCTGCAGAGCGGGGAGGGATGGACAGGTGCAGGGGAAAGAGATGTCATAGACTCGGTGGTGGACAGGAAGGGACCTCAGAGAGGAAGGGGAGGGAGAGCTCCCAGCACAGAAAACAAGGGTGCTGAGGAGGCCTGCTCGTTGAAACTTGCTTGAAGAGCTGAGTCCAGTCCTAATAATTAAGTTGGGCTGCCCTAGCCGGTTTGGCTCAGTGGATAGAGTGTCGGCCTGCGGACTGAAGGGTCCCAAGTTTGATTCTGGACAAGGGCCCATGCCCGGGTTTCGGGCTTGATCCCCAGTGGGGGGCGTGCAGGAGGCAGCGGAGCAATGATTCACTCTTACTGATGTTTCTATCTCTCTCTTCCTCTCCCTCTCTGAAATCAATAAATTTTTTTTTTTATTTTAAAGCTGGGCCTAGTGCAAAGCCTAATTGTGGTAGCCAGCCTCCGGGATGGTCCCCTGTGACTAGCAAGTGTTGGTATCCACACCCTTGTAAAGCCTTTTCCCACACTGAGCAGGGCTGGCATGTATAACCAGTGGGATATGCAGAAATGACGGAGCGTGACTTCCAAGGCCAGCTTATAACAGTGCTTGAAGCCCTAACCGGTTTGGCTCAGTGGATAGAGCGTTGGCCTGCGGACTCAAGGGTCCCAGGTTCGATTCCGTTCAAGGGCATGTACCTTGGTTGCTGGCACATCCCCAGTAGGGGAGTGAGTGTGCAGGAGGCAGCTGATCGATGTTTCTCTCTCATCGATGTTTCTAACTCTCTATCCCTCTCCCTCCCTCTCTGTAAAAAAATCAATAAAATATATATATTTTTTAAAAAGTGCTTGAGGTTTCCACCTTATTTTCTTTTGGGTCACTCACATTGGGGGAAGCCAGCTGCTATGTGGTGAAGACCTCCAAGCAGTGCCCGGAGAAGCCCAGGTGGCAAGGAACCGAGGCCTCTGGCCAACTCGCTCGCCAGTACTCGCTCGCCAGGCGTGTGAGCACCCTACCTGGGAAGCCGGTCCCACAGCGCCAGTCAGACCTGCACAGCCCGGGCACCCATCTTGACGGCGACATCGCAGGAGACCCCCGCGTCGGAACCAGCCCGGCGAACCAGTCGCTCCTGGATCCCTGACCCATTTGGAACCGTGTGATTTAATAAATGTTGATTGTTTCAAGCTGCTCCAATGTGGGGTGATTTGTTTCGCCGTCATTGGCAATGGCCCGATTCCTTATTCGCGGAATTATTGTCCAACAGCTATCTGGTTTGCTGCCCGGAATGCATCGTCCGTGGAGCAAGAACCCATTCAGACCAGCTGCTCAGCTAACTGGCGTGGCGAGGCAGGGTAAATGGAGTCAGTTAAGCAAAGAAAAGATTCTGGGATGGAAGGAGGGTGTGTCCTGAACAGGGAAAGGGCCATAATTAGGATGACCAAACCTCCCCATTTCCCCGGGACAGGGGGGTTTCCTGGGAGGGGGGCACTTTCAGTGATGAAACAAAGACAGTTGGGTAAGCTGGAACGAGTTGACGGTTGTAGCTGGGGTAGGGGTGAAGCTCTCAAAGCTGCATTCCAAGTGAGCGGCCACACGGTGGCTCACATGACATGGTGAGGGATGCCCATTTCCCATCACTCTAGGGCAGGGGTGGGCGCATGCCCCGCCGGACTTGGGGGAAGATGGGAAACCCTCTTTGGAAATGCCTAGCCCAGCGTGAGGAAGCTGCAGAGCAGCCCTCCCTCCTCCCTCCCTGCAGGGGCAGCCGGAAACACCAAGCATTTGCTGAGAACTCTCCACGGAGACCAGGAGGGCCAGCATTGCCCTGCCCAAGGGTCCCGGCTTCCTGTGGCTTCCAGATGCCCTCTGTCACGTGGCCAGCGAGTTGCTATGCAGCCCCTGCGGGCACATCCAGCGACAGGTCATCAGGGTTGCCCACACCCTGGTTAGGAAGGCATTCCCATACCGAGTGGGATGCTGCCGCCACCCTTGAATTCCATGGGATCGAGCGGAACAATCGAGACCCGTTTCTTCCAGGCAGCCCTTTCACATACTGTGCACACATGGCTTCCTCTGCTTAAGGTCCTCCCTGCTCCTGGCAAACTCTCCCCACTTACCCTTCAAGGCTTAGGTCCAAAGTCAGTCACATCCACCTCTCCACGCCTGCCACACGCAGATCCTAAGGGAAGGACAGCTCCACCACAGGACACCAGTGACATCTTATAGCTGCACCTCCATAGGCCCACCTGGGCTTTCCCGGAGGTGGCTGTGACTGGGAACTCGCAATCACACTGTCTGAAGGAGGAGCTCACTCCCTTTTGCTTCCTCTGATCACCCCAAGGAGCCACTGGGCCAGCTGTGTCTAATTCCCCCTCCCCCCAATGCTCTTTATTTTATTTTTAAATATGTTTTTATTGATTTCAGAGAGGAAGGGAGAGGGAGAGAGAGATGGAAACATCAATGATGAGAGGATCCTGGATCGGCTGCCTCCTGCACGCCCCCCACTGGGGACCGAGCCCACAACCCAGGCATGTGCCCTTGACTGGAATTGAACCCAGGACCCTTCAGTCCGCAGGCAGAGTCTCCATCCACTGAGCCAAACCGGCTGTTTATGGCAATCAATTCAGGTTTTCCGTTTATCATACTGATATAGTTTCCTTTTTAAATAAATCACACATATAATACATGTGCATTGTAGCAACTTTAGAAAACACAGGCAAAAAATCATAGTTTGAGCCTCACTTTCTTATAGAAGTCATCACTGACCCTCAAGGCCTATATGGGACCTCCCTTTTTTCTCTTCTTCCCCATTGTAAGTCCTCATAGCCCCTGGCACTTCACAGCCTCTGTTGCAATTGGCAAAAATGTTTTTGTTTACATTCCTCACTTATCCAGTAAATATTTTGTGTCCCAGGCAGGAGCCCTGAGGGGTGAGAGGCCGAAGGTGCCTGCCTGCCCTGGAGGGGCTAAGAGTCAGTGCTGAGCTGATTTCACCTCCCCCCACCCTCCCCACCCCCCCAGGCATTAAGTCCCAAGGGGGCCCGGCCTTACTGTTCTGCTCACCTTTGGTGTCTCAGAGTAACACGTTCACCAGCCAGGCAGACCCAGTACTCGCTGAAGGAATCCCAGAGTTAGAGCGTGCCCTCCACTCCCCCATTCCAAGCACACCAGCAAGGAGCCGCCTGCCTGCGGTGGGCACTGGGGTGTGGGGGTGTGTGGGGGGGTGCATGCATGCTCCCACGTCTCTCCGGAAGCCACCAAGACCCTGGCCCCCGTGTGGGGTCTGCAGGCTTTCTGCGTCTGCTGAGGTCTGTGATCTGGGGGATCGTGGCCGGGCAGGGATTCGTTTGCAGAGCAGACAAAGGAGCTGGACCGGGTTAGGAGGAGGGTAGGGGGCCCCAGGAGACGCAGGAAGAGATGGTCAAGGCGGATGGGAAGAGTGAAGGAGGTGATGGAGAGATGGTGCGGCCCAGAGCCCTGTCCGCCCGTCTCAAATGGCGAGGGGGCTTGCTTCTTGGACAATGCGGTAAACACGGCCTGTGGCTACCCTCACCCCCAGGAAAACGCACCGTCTCGGGGGGCTCACTCTGATGCCCATCCTTCCATGCCCCGCTAAGAACTCCCCATCTCCTTGCTCAACGCCCCCATTTCATTGAACTGGACACTGAGGCCGGAGTGGGGAAAGGGCTTTCTCAAGGTCACAGAGCAAGTCAGGAGCAGCGCGCAGGGGCTCAGAGGGAAA